GAGGGCCCCGTGGGGCGGGGGGGGGACCCCTTCTCTCTCCCCGTGAGGCACCCCGCGGGCTCGTCCTCCTCCTCCCCGGAACCCTGGCAGAGACTTTTGATGTTTAACCCTTTAGGGCCGCTCTTGGATCTCTTAAAATGAAGCATCTCCGTGGTTATGCGAATACATGACGGACCTTCTGCCAGAAACGGGCTGGTGGATGAACATAAACACGTGCGTCCAGCTACCATACTAATCCTGCCAACCTAGCAGTTCGAAAGCAAGACATGGCAAGTAGATCAATAGGGACCACTTTGGTGGGAAGGTAACAGCGTTCCGTGCGCTTTGGTGTTTAGTCATGCCGGCCACATGACCACGGAAACGTCTTCGGACAGCGCTGGCTCTTCGGCTTGGAAACAGATATATGCATCGCAACCCTTGAATCGGACTCGACTGGGCTTTCGAGCAAGGGGAACCTTTACCTGTACCATCAAAGAGTTTCGTGTCCCCCCCCCCATTCCCTAAGTACCAGGGATAGTTAAATGGGGGGAGGAGCATAATGCCAACCGAGCAGTTCGAAAGCAAGACATTGCAAGTAGATCACTAGGTACCACTTCAGTGGGAAGGTAACAGCGTTGGTGAGCCTCGGTGTTGAGTCATGCCGGCCACATGACCACGGAAACGTCTTCGGACAGCGCTGGCTCTTCGGCTTGGAAACGGAGATGAGCACCGCAACCCTACAGTCGGACTCGACTAGCTTTCGAGCAAGGGGAACCTTTACCTTTACCTAAGCCAACCTAGCAGTTCGAAAGCAAGAAATTGCAAGTAGATAAATAGGTACCACTTCGGTGGGACAGAACAGCGTTCCGTGCACCTTGGTGTTGAGTCGTGCCGGCCACATGACCACAGTAGGCCGAGCGCCGAAGAATAGATTCTTTTGAACTATGGTGCTGGAGAAGACTCTTGAGAGTCCCTTGGACTGCAAGAAGATCAAATCAGTCAGTTCTAAAAGAAATCAACTAAAATGCCCACGTGATGAAGTCAAGAAAAACAGATTAACAAAGCCAGAAGGATACCCAGAGACAGCCTGTTAGAAAACAGGGCCCAAAGAAACAATAACAGAAGACCACTAGTAGTCACATACAGGTCTCAACCAATGCTCCCTCTAAGCCATGGGAAGTCAAGAAAAACAGATTAACGAAGCCAGAAGGATACCCAGAGACAGCCTGTTACAAAACTGAGCCCAAAGAAACAATAACAGAAGACCACTAGTAGTCACATACAGGTCTCAACCAATGCTCCCTCTAAGCCATGGAGTCTTGTGAGCAAAAATCCTACTTTGTGAGCTACTAGCATTAAAGCTGTGAGCGAGCGGTTTGGCTCCTGCATAAATTAGCTTTCTCTGGAGCCATCCTTCCTGAGCGAAAACAAAAATGTGTGAGCTGGAGGCTAAAAAACTGTGAGCTAGCTCACACTAACTCAGTTCAACACGTCATCAACGACTTACAGCCTCTA